CAGCACTTGGGAGGCAGAGGCAGGTGGATCTCTGTGAGTTCAAGGCCAGCCTGGTCTACATAGTGAGCTCCAGGACAGCTGGGGCTATAGGGAGACCCTGTCTCAAAATAAATAATAAAAAATAAATAAAATAAATAAAATATATTTTAAAAAGAAATGCTGCTCGGTCTGGTCTCAGCCAGAGAGGGTGGCTCATGCCGTAATCCCAGCTCTTGAAGAGGCTGAGGCTTGAGGATTGCCACGGGTTCAAGGCCAGAGTCTACATAATGGGTACCAGGTTAGCCAGCGCTAAAACCCTGTCTCAAAAAAACAAAACACCACCAGTATACAGTCTACTATATCTACAAATCTTGCAAAGCCAAACACCTTTATTTATCACAGTTTGAAAACACAGAAAGAATTAGGAACTCTCATTCCATTTTGCCACAACAAGCCTTTGGGAAGTTCTGCCCCCAAGATGTTGCTGGTCCCTTGGCCAGAGTGCCCCAGGCTGAGCCTCTCTCTTTGTGGCCCATCCTGCTCACCTATCCTACTGGGGGCTGGCCTAGCTATGCCCCTGGGGCCTTCCAGGCCGACTGAAGATATCCGTTTCCACATTAGATGAGCTGATGGACAGAAATGGGTAGGCTGTGGCATGTGGAAGGTCTCTGCCCTGGGATGGGCCGGTCTTTTTGGGGAGCTGTTAGGCTGAACCACATGCTGTGGGGTGGGACAGAGGCTAGCCTGGCCTGGACACAGCTGGGGCAGAAACAGGGACATTGTTACTATGTCTTCAAAAGTTGGAAGTAGTGGTGGCTTTGGAGAGGGCAGAGCCGCTCTCACTGGCCCTGCAAGCCACCCTGCACACCAGAAGGAAGTAACCAGGCCTCCACTGACTCAAGTTAGCATCCCGGCCCTGGCATTTCTTGCCCAAAATTTGGGCAAGTGGTTTTAGTTCTCAGGACCCAAAACTGTCCCTCTACAAGATGGAAGCAATGCTCCCTACCTGGTACCTTTGCAGGCTCGTGCAGTAGAAACTGTCACAGCTAGGCTTAGGCTATGAGGGCCCATGACTTGCTGGCTAGGGCTCCTTCATGTGGCCATCTCCTCTCAGAGACTGTGTTTCCATCAATAGCTGATTCCAGCCTGTCAGGGTGGGAGGAACTTGGGAATCAGGCTCTGCTGGGAATCATGCCCAGGCATGTCATGAGTTTAGTTCCAACCCCAAGGCCTGGCTTGACACTGAAGTCCTGCAGGCTCACACGTTGGTCTCCAGCTCACTGATCTTGATGGTACAGTGGTCTAGGCTGGCAGTGGTCAGCTCCTCATCCTGTTCCACCTGGACTGGGATGTGGTGGGGGCACATGGGGCCAAGGGTCAACTCCAAGGCTTCAGCTACACTCTTCACACAGCCATTCTGCTGGGTGGCCACAATCTCCTGCAGTGTCACTGGCTTCGTCTCGCTGGGTGGCAGTTTCTGGAGAGGAAATGGGCCTTGATAGCACTAGGAGGGACTGAGGGTGGGTAATGCCGGGCAAGCCAGGCTTTAGACTGAACTAGCTGGGTGCTGTCTGCAGTCTCTGGGCACCTGTTCTCAAGTTGGCTTGCCTCTAGCCTCCTACTATCTTGGTAGATGAGGGACTTGACCCATAGGGTCTGGGGGGAATTGATGGCTCTCCTGCCTGAACCTCAACTTCCTCCCCATGGAGTAGATGCAGCCTACACATGGCTATAGGGAACCAGATAGCCTGGGCTTCCTTACAAACATCTTGTACAAGAGCCTGGGTTTCTCAGGGTGGGGCTGCTCAGTTTTCTTCCCACTGATCAGGACACCCTGGTAGGACCTTAATGGATAGCTATTAGATGAGTTGGTTGCCTGCTGGGACAAGAATCCCAGAGCTGTGGAAGATGAAGCTGAAGGCTTCCCAGTGGGTGGATGGAACATTGGTGATGTCACCCAACCCAGCTCTGGCCTCTAGAGACCTCCTGGAGGAACCCTGCTCTCACCTCGGTGCCCATGTCCCGAGCAAAATCCTTCCGGCAGATATGGGCCATGATCCCTGCCGCCAGCGCATCACCCAGCACGTTAATCATGGTACGGAAGCGGTCCCTGGCAAGCCAAGGCAGGCAGTGAGTGGTAGCCACCCCAACAGGGAGCTGGTGTAGGGCCCAACCTGAAGGCGTGGGGCCACTGCACAGAAGCACAGGAAGTGACCACAGGCAGGGTGGTACCCAGCCCACCCTCAGTGATGTTGAAGCAGCTGGGGAGCTGGCTTCATGGACCTGGGTCCTGTGCTTAGACAGATGAGTCATGGCTAATGCCCTAGGTTGTAGTCTAGAACTTTTCTAGAGAATTCATGGGACCCCCTGTTTTCATTTTTTAACTCTGGGGTGAGGTGCCCCAGCCTGCCAGATATAGCAACTCCTCAGCCCTCTGCTTGGAGAAGGGACTCAGCTCCCTACCCTGCTACCCTCAGCAAAGGGTGGGGCTGAGTGGGGACTGGGGTGAAGCACTCACAAAGCCCAGTCTACAGCGATGATGAGGTTGATGTCGTCAGTGGGCAGTCCCACAGAGGTAAGTACAATGACCATGGTGACAAGCCCCGCCTGTGGGATGCCGGCTGCCCCAATGCTGGCCGCAGTGGCTGTGATGCTGCAGAGGGAGAATGAAGTAGCAGGGTGTCTGCCACAGCCCTGACTCCAAGAATGGGGCCAGAATGCCAGGGCCTCTGGGCCAGCCAAAGGGTGCCCAGGAGTGCCACATCAGGAAGTCCTCAGGGGGGCATGTCCCTTTTTATGGTCTTTTGGCCCCATAGGTCCCTGCATCAGAGGAACTGGAAGAAGCTGGCAAACGGCCTCTGTGGGTCCAGAGATACACAGAGATTCTGGCTGTCCACCAGAACAATTCAGTCCCAGCCTCACTCTGGGCCCAGGCTCCTGGGTCAGGCTTATGTGCTAGGACTGGCCCACGAGTAGGTCCCCTCAGGCTCTGCCCCATCTCAACAGCCTGCCCTTGGCACCAGCCACACTAGTCCTCAGGCCTGCCCCCAGCCTCTGCTTGCCTTAGGTCTGCCTATCCAACTCAGGCACCTGGTCCTAGAGACCAGGCTCATCCCAGCCCCAGCGCCAACCCTCCCTGAGGTTGGCTCCAGGGGCCTTCTGGAGTGTGGTATCAGAATGTACCTGATAGTGATGATCTGGCCAAAGTCCAGCTCATAGTTGTTGACTTGGGCAATGAAGATGGCGGCCACAGCCTCGTAGAGTGCGGTACCATCCATGTTGATAGTGGCACCCACAGGCAGCACAAAGCGGGCAATGCGCCGGTCGATGTGGTTGTTCACCAGCAGGCACTTGAAGGTGATGGGCAGTGTGGCTGAGCTATGGGCAGAGGGGCTGGTGTTTGCCGACCACCCTCCTCCAGGATGGTCAAGAACTCTGAAGTGAGCTACTGCAGGGGAGCCAGCTCATTGATGGCCTGATAGAAATGTGTGACCCACATGTGGGTCTGCTTGGGCCAGCAGGAGTGAGCACAGGCAGAGTACCACTATGTACCAGGTACTGGGCTGTCTTCTCCCTGATCACTCCTGGAGAGGAGCCTGGCACATTGCCACACTGCTGGGCCAAGGGTATCCAAAGCAATGAGCCACAGAGGCTGTGCCAGAGTACCTGGGCCTTGAGTCCAGCCTCCCCCCAGGGCCCCGGCAAGCCCTGGAACCTGGGTGCCTTGATATCTGTTCCACATGGCTCCCAGATTGCAGGGTGACTGCAAGATCAAGCTACTTAGTATTCAGAGCAGCACATGGTGCTGAGCCCCACGGGAGGAATTTCTGCTGCAGGGGTGGGGGTGCCTCTGCCAGGGGTGAAGCCTGTGGGCATGGCACAGTCTGGGAATCTCCAGGCCCAGGCAAGAGACATGAGGGCTGGAAGGAGCACAAGAACTTGATCCAGAAAGATGGGCTCAGGTCCACAGAACTCCTTCCACATGGGGCTTGGACACTTGCTCCAGAAGGATGCCCCTTCTTCACAGGACAAGATGATAATGACCATCATCCGTCCCTACTCTCACTCCCGAGGTCCTCTACCCTCAGCTGTGGTTGGGGATCCCTGAAGCCAGGCATGGGTTCACTGGCCCAATTTCGTTTCTCACCCCAATGAATTATTCCCAGCCTCCTGTGTAGGCACAAATTATCCCAACCCGAGAATGGGGACACTGAGGCTCTGAAGGTTAAGTAACAGCACACTATCATACTGACATGCTTAACTCAAATCTTGACTGTTCAGCCACACTGCCAAGGTTGGAACGGGGCATCCAGCCTGGATATCCCAATCAGAGTAGACAGGAAGAGCCCTGTAGTGGCGCAGGACCTGCCCCAACAGGAGCACATGGGGCTGTGGAAGACAGGAGAGTCTTCACCAGACGGACCCCATGCCTCTCTCTGCCTCTAAGGTAAGGGCACTGACCTCCATGCAGACTGAGAAAGCTTTGGGACCATGGGAAACGGAAGGCCTCAAGAGTGACTTAGACAGGCAGGACCTGGGGCATTAAGTCCCCACAAGGTCCTGTTACCATGACTATTGCTGCCCCTAGGGTCTGAGGGGAACCATGCTAGGACTCTGGTTCTGTGGCAGTAGGTGAATGATGGCTGGACAGATGGACAGAGTTCCGTTCTGCCTACCCTAGCCCCCTCTGCTCCTCACCCAGGGCTACCTGGAGGAGGTGGCCAGTGCAATGAGCAGAGCCTGGAGAACGCCGCGGGTGAAGACAATGGGGTTCTTCCTGGTGACGAGGAAGTAGAGGAGTGGCAGGATGAGAAGGCCATGGAGCACCAGCCCGCATACCACTGTCACAGCATAGAAGCCCAGCTTCTTTCCCACCACCTTGGGGTCATCCATCTCCAGGATCTTGCCAGCGATGAGGAAGACAATACCAAAGGGGAAGTACTAGGGCAGGGGTAGGGCAATCCCAGACTCGGTGCAGCATTCCACCCCACCAGGTACCTTGTCACCGTCATAGTCTCATCTCAAGCCTCTCAAGACTCACAAAGACTGAGTGAGACTGTAACTGAGGTACCCAACCAAGGACCAGGCCCATGGCATCAGTAGCGCCCCTCAGTTTCCCCCACCCTTCATAGCCTGGCACCTCTTTGCTGGCTCCATCTGTGCCTCTGTGGAGTATCCCTGACTTCCAGAGGCTCCAGTTCAGCCCAGTAATGCCACATCTCCTAGGTGACTATGGGTAGGCCTCTGCATGCCCTTCTGACTGGAAGGTTCCTAATGACTGAACTCTGACCCAGGAGTGACTGCTGGCTCCCACTTTGACAGTATACTTTCAAAAGCTGAGCTGAGGAGGCTCCACAACACAGGGAAATCAAGGCCCAGAGCACAGTACATTAGGCCTGGTTGGAGTTTGGGATCTCTGTACACCCAAGTACCTCTGGTGGCCTCAAGCCTGGGCTGAGCCTCCCATGAAGTTTGTTGAGTTCCTTGGAGAGCAGAGGATGGGATAGTCATGTGTCCCTCTCTCTGTCCAGGACTGGAGGGGTAGGAGAAGAGAGGACCCTCCCTGGAGGGGTCTTACCACACAGCCACTGCCACAATCTTCATGACTGACTCATTGAGGCACTGACAGAAGCTGACCAGGGGGGTCCCGCTGTCACCCATGTGGCCCAGCACGATGCCTGTGGGGACACACACAGTCACTGGTGCACCAGGCCAGTGTGCAGGAATGCCGACAGGAAAGCAGAGATGGACTGGTGGTACACAATGCCGCTGACATCCCCACAGCCTTTGATGAGCCAACATTTCCCTGCATTTCCTCCCCTCCTTGGCCGCCACCTCTAGACCCAGCGGGGCTCTCCTGGCCCCTCTCTCCTCGCTAGCCTATTCTCCACTGCAGCAGATGTGCGTCACTTTGAGATAAAATGTTGCTGAACACGCCCCTTGGACAGTAACCGCCACGGCTTTGGCCCCATCTACCTGACACTACCATACCCCCTGCTCTGCCCTTCCTCCCTGTGACCTGGCCTCACAGTCTCGGGATTTTAGAATACATCAAGCTTTCTACTGCCTCAGAGCCTTTGCATGTGCCGTTTCCAGTGCTTTGGCCCACTGGCATCAGTTCTCTTGGGAAGAACACAGTGTGTGAACTGTTCTTGGGGTCTGCTCTGTGCCAGTGAGCACCACCGTGTCATTCTTGAAAGGGTGGCTGTGTGGCAGCTGTCCTTCTGGTGAGGTGCACAGAGCACAGCCCAGGCTGTCCTCCTGAAGCTCTGACGTGGTACTCAGGGCTCCATGGCTTGTTCAGCTAGGGACAGGGGCAGGAATCAAACCCTGGCTTGTGGGACTCCAGAGAAGGTCTCTGTCCTCATACTCCACAGAGAAGTCACCTGTGATGATGGAGCAAAGAGAGATCCTGCCTAGATAGCAGGAGAGGCCAGGGTTGGGGTGTGACCCTGGGCAAGGCCTGCCCATCTGGCCTATGGCAGCCTAGAAGATCCCTATCCCCCAGCTTCTGCCAGCCAGCTCTGTCTCTAAACTGCTCCTGCCCCTCACCTTGACTTGGATGTCTCTGGGAGGAATCCTAGGACTCTGGCTGAGTAGGAACCAGTGTGCATAGGACACAGGTATAGAAATGAGGTGCTGCTCCCCCACCACCAGCAAGACAAAGACACCTGAGCACCAGCCATGTCCCAACACCAAGGGGGAACAGGAAAGTAGGGCTGGAGGACCAAAGCGCCTTGATCAGAGCACCTGTGCACAGTGATATGGGCACACGCAGATGAGGGCACACTCGGGTGTATGCAGATATGAGCACAGTAGTATGGGCTCGCGCTGACCTGGCACACAAGTACAAATACACAGCAATACACAGCTACGCTGTTCAGTGACCATTAAGTGGACACTCTCAAGCATTTCTTTTGCTTGGCTGCCATACATCCTTTTCCTGCTGCATCCCTCAGAGAGGCTGTGGATGGAGGGGAAGATGTCCAGGACGGCGGTCAGGCTGCTAGGTGCACATAGGGAGAGTCCAGGTGTACACACAGGTCCCAGCCCTCTGTGTGCCTGGCTCTTTGGCCAAGGCAGTCAGAACTTTGCTACCTATCATTGTCTACACACTCAGTCACTGCCCAACAATCTCTTTAACAGGTTTCACTGACCCCTTCCCTGGCTAATCACTGTGGAAGGTTTGGGGCAAATGGACAATAAGTCAGGCATGTGTCTCTGTGTCAGCTGACTCAGATGCGGTAGGATGCCACTCAGCCATTAACGCAACAGGGTCAGGTGTTCACTGTGGAACATTTGTAGCAGAGAATTTGTGGCCTGGGTACCTGACCCGGTCTAGGGGCAGGAAGATCTTGACGAGGGTGGCATGCTTGTGGGGAAGCCCCTGGAGGATCAGAGAGGCGACAGGGAAGAAGAGCAAGGGTGTGGGCTCAGGAGAGTGGACATCCTTCTACGGCCTAGGCTGAGACAGGGCTGTATCTGAGCTCTATGGCCTCTGCAGCTCTGATCGGCTTCTGTCCCAGTGCGACCAATGGAGTAGGGCCAACTTCTTGACTCTGAGGACAGCAGAGGGACAAGAGCACAAGGTGCAGGGGACTTTCTCGGCAGTCGCTCAGGAACCAGGTAGCCTTGCCCAGGGTGGTGGTAGCGGCAGAGAAAGGGGAGGCAGAGTGGCAGAATCTGGATGGGAGGGCTGCAGCTGAGGCCAGCTGGAACACGGTGCAGATGCCCTGTGCACAGCAGGATGGCAAACATGCTGTGCAGCAAGAAAACCCCATGCAGAAGGCAGGGAAACAAAACACAACTATCCCAGGTCAGTGCTGAAGACTTAGAAGCTGCCCTAAGAAGGAAAAGAGTTCTTTGTGTGACTATGGTGGTTGTGGACGGCACTGCAGGCAGAAGTTTGGTGGAATCTGAAACTATGTAGTTTAGGGACCCTCATTAAGAGTAAGAGTACAGGCCAAGTAGGATCATAATCCTACTTGGCAGGTGGAGGCAGGAGGATCAGGAATTCAAGGTCTTCCTCAGCTACAAAGTGAGTTTGAGGCCAGTTCAGGCTACGTGAAACATTGCCTCAAAAAACAAAAACACAGGGCTGTAGAGATGGCTCAGTAGTTAGGAGCAGAGGACCCGGGTTCGGTCCCCAGCACCCATGTGGTGGCTAACAACCATCCACAACTCCATTTCCAGGGGATCTGACGCCCCCTTCTGACCTCCACGGGCTCTGCACCACACAGGTGCACTTCATGCAAGGAGTATATTCATACACATAAAATAAAAATAATAAAATCTTAAAAAAAAAAGAGAGATGGGGTACTGGGAGCAGTGGCAGCACATACCCATGGTGGCTGAGAAGATGACAATGCCTAGCACGTTCATGCCATCACTGGTGCCAGGTTCTGACTTGTAGACAATCTCGGATGGGGGGGTCAGGTCCAGAGCAAAGTTTTGTACACGAGAGCCATTATCTTCCTGGACCCCATAGACTAGGATCTGCCGAGGAGGGCCCTCCTCCAAGGCCCCTTTGGGAGACTTGATAACCGGGGTGGTCTTGGTGCGGTACTGTTGGGCAACACACCAACCAGGAGGGAGTCAATGCCATGTCATTTCAGGAGAATATCCCCAAAGCACATTTGTATTCACTCCTATTCTGCGTCATTGATTATCACAGGAGAGGCTGGCAGGCTGAGGCTGGGGGATATTATCCACCACAAAGAGAAAGTCCTTCATTAAGTTACACACTGCCTGTAGCTCTCTCTAGCTCACTGTCACCTGGCTCCCTCTCTGACACTCCATCCATCTCCTCCTCTTCCAGAAGCCTTGTCACTTATGTCATCCCTTCCACCCTACCAGTACCCACACAGTCTACAGCTCCACTGGCCACTGGACAGAGGCCGGCCCTTCTCAGAGAAAGCTTCCAAGCCCCAGGCCTATTTGAGAGAAACGTCAGCTGTCCAAGGTCTTCCTCTGCCCTCAGACCGTTCCTGGGTCTCTCTCCCTCATTCCTCAGATAGTAGGAACCCAAACAAGGGGTCTCCTGTCTCCTCAAACAGCAAGGTGTCAAGAAGGTAAGGCTTCAGGGCAGGAGGGGTTCCTCAGGAAGCACACAGGACTGAAAACCCTTGGTTTTGTTTCCCTCACCTGTGAAAGGGGACCACAGTGGTGTCTCCCTCACTCCACTGAGTTGAACGAGACAATGTACCAGGCACTTTAAACAGTTCCTGGCATGTGGAAAGCCCTGGGTGAGCATTGCTGTTATCACTAGCAGCGCATATAAAAATGAATCAGACATCATTTCTGCTCAGGGTCTTGGGGAGGGAGAGAGTGATTAACAGGAAAGGGGGCATTTGATTTGGGTTTTGAAAAATGAGTTTGCTGAAAAGAAAAGGTTTATTCTAGGCCGATATAAAAGAGCTTTTCTCTCTCTCCTCTCCTCTCCTCTCCTCTCCTCTTCTCTTTCTTTCTCTGTCTCTCTCTCTCTCTCTCATTTCTGGATTCCATCTTTCTTCTGAGGCTGTGGGTGGCTCAGACTGCATTGTCAAAGCTGGTGGCTGGGGCCCTCTGGGGGTAAGCAAGGGAGGGAGAAGGTGGCATAATCTTATAGAACAAAAGAAAACACAAAATCAGTTTCAGGGTCCCCAACAAGCTTGGCCTCCTCTCCTGGGAGGTTACCAAGCAGATCCCTCCTCCAACTCCCCTACTTCCTGCTTTGGCTTTCTTCTCCCTAAGAAGGGAGAGCACACTCACCCATCACCTTCCTCTCCTCTCCTCTCCTCTTCTCTGTCTCTGTCTCTGTCTCTTTCTCTGTGTAATCTTCAATAACTCTCCATCACAACCAGAGCAACATGCACACTCTCTGCCTTTTAGGGCTCTTTTTTTATATAGCATTTTCTTTCATATTTTATTATTTTTATTTTACGTGTATGAGTGTATTGCTTGTGCGTATGTAAGTGCACCAATGCCCATGGAGGGTCAGAAGTGGACATTGGAGCCCCTGCAATTGGAGTTATGGACAGTTGTTAGTCTCCATGTGGGTGCTGGGAATTGAACCTGGGTCCTGTGCAAGAGCAGCCAGCACTCTCTGCAGCCCCCCAGGTGAAGATCAAGACCCTCGACTTTCACAGTGTTTGTTTGGAGCTCCCTTCCCCACCCTCAGCCACCTGCTTGGTGTCCCTAGCCCCACACAGGGCCTAGCCCAGGCAAGGGATTCAGGAAACACTGGTAGAGTGGCATCATCAGGCAATGAGCAGACAGCAGGAGGGATGGAGCACTGGCAGGAAATACAAGCGCAGACGAACTGAGACACAAGAATGGCCAATGTAACACCTAAAAAAGGCAGGAGCTTGAAAACAACCCCAGGACACTGAGGGGCAATGGCAAACAAGAAGCAGTATAGCCTCAGCCCTGAATGCCATGCCTTTAACAGACATTCCAGAACTGGGAAAGTGGAGCAGAAAGCAAGATGCAAACTGCGTATGTGATGACCTTCATTGTAATTAAGAAAACACTGATGCAGAGAAGACAAGAATCAATCCCATCTGCTCCCACCATTGCTAGAGCCTAGAACTAGGAGTGATTTTCACCCTTTATCTGATCCATATCTGTCACCCAGGTTGGCCTGAAACTTGTCCTCCTACCTCCACTGCCCCAGTTCTGGTAAGCATTTTACCTGGCTTATGAAGTGCTAGGGATCAAACCCAGGGCTTTGTGTATGTTTGGAAAGTACTCTACCAAGCGAGCCACATCCTTAGGCCCTACTTGATTTATTTTAATGTTTTCCTAATTTCCTACACCAAACACTATTATTATTCTCATTAGGGTTGGGAAGAATTTGTTTTTAGAGAGAAAATAGTCTTAGAAGCCAGCCTGGCCTGGATTTCTCCACTCTCTTGTCCTTGACTAGAGAGAGGTATAACCTTGGACAACAATCTAGATCTACTTCTGAGCCTCAGTTTCCTCATCCAGGAAATGGGCTGGTCCCCCCTCAGGGTCGACACTGTGAGGTTTGATGGTATGAGCACCCGTGTAGCACTCGGGCCTGAGAAGCTGCTCAGGCAAGGCTGTCTTCTGCCCCATGAGATTTCTTTAGGAGAGACCCAGGACAAGGCTGTGGCCATGGAAGGTGCTAAGGATCTGGGTCTCACCTTCTCCCCTCCCTTCCTGGCATCCTTCTGCCCTCCATGGTTAAGCCCTACTCACCTGTTTGAACGTGGCCTCTACCAGGTTGGCGGGGAACATGTTCCTGGAAAGAGAGTCAATAACTGAGGAATTCCAGAGCCAGGACAGTGGCTTCCTTGGTGGATGGAAGTGGAAGCCTTCATGACCCTGCCCCAGTCTCTCCCCCCATGTCACTGGTCCCCACTGACACAGTATCCTGACTATACACCATATTTTCCCAGCCCCAGGCCTTGCCCACACTGTTCTCCAAGCTTGGCATGGCCCACCTGCTTTCCTGCCTGCCTAACTGCTACTCAAATCAATCATAAGTCAGCAGACTTCCTCTATCTAGGCATGTCGAACCAGGCAGACCCCATGGCCTTGCTGTATGTGGATCACCTCAGCCACTGTTAGGCCATCTATCTCCCCATATGATGGCCTTTTTGAAGACAAGTCTACATTCTTCCCCCACACCTTTATATACCATGTGTTGTACTCAATTTAGGACCTGACACACAAGTGACTCATTATAGCCATCCCTTGCTTGGTTCAGGGATTGGCCCTAGGACCTCCCTGGACGCCCAAAACCCAAGGATGCTGTGTTAGGAAAACATCCAGGCAGTACAGTATGCTCATAACTTCCACATAAGCACATCCTACCTATACTTCTTTTTATTATTTTTATTTTATGTGTATGAGTGTATTATATGCATGTATATAAGTGCACCCATGTCATGCAGTATGTGTGGAGGTCAGAAGAGGGTGTGGGATCCCATGGAACTGGTTGTTAGCCATCATGTAGATGCTGGGAATCGAACCTGGATCATCTGCAAGAGCAGCCAGTGCTCTTAACTGCTGAGCCATCTCTCTAGCCCCTGCCTACACTTTCAATCATCTCTAGACAATGTACAATACCTCGTGCCTGGGGGTGTAGCAGAAAGTACTGTTTCACTCATGACTGAGGGAGTAATGGCAAGGGAAAGCCGGTGTGTTTAGTGTGCGTGCAGTGTTTTCCCTGAAAGGGATCTGACGTTGCTTGAATCCATAGTTATAAAACTGTTGTAGAGGGATAACTGTATCTTATTAACATTTTACTCTAAAGCTGAAGGTGGAGGAGGTCTTGTCCTACCAGATATGAAAACATACTATAAGGATGTCACTGTGAACACAGTGTAATATACACCCCATCAGTCTGGCAACTGGTGCCATAGAACCTTAGGCAGCTAAACATTTCATTTTTCTTGTTTGGCTTTTAAAGTTTTATTTGCTTACTTATTGTGTGTGTGTGTTTGTATATGCTCGTGCATGTGTGCAAGCACACAGGTGAATGTCATGACATGTATGTGGAGGCCAGAGGATAACTTTTAGGAGTCATTTCTCTTCTACCTTTACATGGGTTCTGGGGATCAAACATGGGTAGCCAGGCCTATGTAACAAGCACCTTTACGAGCACACACACACACACACACACACACACACACACACACACGGTCTCACTATGTAGCCCAGGCTGGTCCCAAACTTTTGATTCTCCCAAGTGCTAGGATTATATCTGTGTGTCACCATGCCTGGCCCACGTATCACGCATTTCATATCTGATAAGGAACTCTTCACAAGCCAGTGAGGAATTAAAGGATTCACCATGAAAACTGCATAGCTGACCAACCATTCTAAAAAACTGTTAGCTCTATACCTTCCACCAAAATAAATTCCAGACTTTTTTTTTCAAAATAAAATAGTAAAAATCTAGAGAACAAATAAGTTGATATTTTATTACCCCTAATTATGGAAAGGACATGCGAAGAACAAAGTAAACAAATCAACCAATTTTACTCATTTAAATTAAGAAATTCGCCAGTACAGCATGGATTCCTGGCCTGGATCCTAGAACAGAAAAGGACATCAATGAAAACATTAGTGACAGCCGAATGAAATCTGTAGCAAGATGGGCATGGTGGCACACGTCTGTAATCCCAGCACTTGGGAAGTGAGGGCAGGAGAGGAGGGTCAGGAATTCAAGGTTATCCTCACCTAGCTAAATTGATGTCTAGCCTGGGCTTCAAGAGCCTCTGTTTTAAAAGACCAAAACCAACCAACCAATCAATCAAACAAACAAGCTCTGTAGTTTAGTTAACTGCTGTACCAATTCCATACCTTAGTTTTGACAAAAGAGCTTTGGTTCTATAAGATGCTAACATCTGGGAACCCCAGTGATGGTATGTCGGGTCTCTCTTCTCTTTGCAGTCCTCTGGAAACCAAAAATTATACCAAGATGAAACACTTAAAAAATAAGAAGCTCTCTAATATTACAATCCAAATGAAATTATAAAGCACGTGACAAGCTGGGCACCTCCGTGATCAAGGCTGTCACGGTGCTAAGTCTGAAATGGTCTTAACAAATCTTGCCTTTCTCATCTTCACCAACTGTCTCCTTTCAGCTCTCTAGATGGCAGAGGCGTCTGTTCTGTTCCCTTCTTTGTCCCCAGTCCCTGGAAGAGAACCTGGCACATAGTAGGTACTCAGCAAATATCTGCTGCTTAAACAAATGGGACTTAAAACGGTAAGGTTCCAATAGAAAAGCAAACAAAAAAGATGGAAAGCTACAGTCAGCGACTTACTTCACAAAAGAAGATAGAAATGGCCCCAAACAGGCTTTAAAACATTTTTTGTCTTTTTTGAGACAGGGTCTTTGTAGCCTCAGCTGGCCTGATACTCACTACATGGACCAAGATGGCTTTGAACTCAGAGAGATCTGCCTGCCTCTGCCTCCCAAGTGCTGGGACTAAAGGTGTGCAGCACTGGGAGTGGGGCCAGGGAGATGGGCTCCCTCAGGTGATCCTGCAGTAACCCTTCTCAAAAGCAATTTTGCAATTCATGCTAGGAATTCTAACAGCATGCCTACTCCTGTCCTTAAAATCCCTTCTAGAAAGAGATTGCAGAGCAGAGACGCTAAATCTCTGTTGAGGAGTTTGCACTTCCTGGAATGGGTGGTGAGTAACACACCCTCCCTGCTGTCTGCCTGGCTGGCCCTCCCACTCACTTGTCCTGGCAGCTCTTCTCCTTTGAGACTCAGTTCACACATGCGTGAAGCTGTGCACGTGGACATGAGCGTGCTTCATTTCTTAACTCTCCTCCCCTGTAGCTGCGGCCAGAAACACAGACTGCAATATTTTTGCTGCTGCTAGGATTCAGGCTCCATATATGTACGGCCAGAGAAAGGGGTGGAGAAAGCTGTGAAGGCAGAGGCTGGCCGAGGGTCTGCCCAGACCACTCCATCTTTTACCCTTTCCATAGGGGTTTCAGCTTTGTCCCAAGAAAAGGAGAAGCGGAGGTCAGGAGCTGGGATCTCTGACTTTTTCCCTTGAGACAGAAGCAAATGCCATCAGAAGAGCAGCTGCCTGTGAAGACCTGAAGCCAGGGCTGGAATTGGTGTCAGGAGCTGCCAGGGTTCCCTGGCCTGGCAGGAGGGGGCCCAGCTGCATCAAACAAGTGTGAAAATCTCTCCTGCTGCAGGCTGCAGGAGGGTCAAGGGCCTTACAAGGTTGTTTTCTAATGAACCTTAAAGAAAAGACAGCTATAGCCTGAGTAGAAGCTAAAGGACATTGGAAAGGTCATCAGAAACCAAGTGGAACTTACACCTATCATGTCCCTTCCAGACTCCCTTTAACACAAGGACACTTACAACGTGGGCTGTGGCAGCACTGGCTAGTTGCTGCCAGTGTCCATTAATCTCCCCTTGTTCCTTGCTAACAGATGCCCTATTAGTATAAGTGACCCCACAGGGCCTGGTCATCACCTTGATTCCTATCATCTGTGTCCGTAATGGGGGTGACCACAGAGACTTGAGAAACCACTAAACTCTGTTCCTAAAGAGCTTGCCTTCAGCCCTTGGGTTTCTTCCAACTTTCTTCTTTCTTAGCAAGAGCTTAAACAGCCTTCTTGGGCCATGAGACAGCCTGAAGATGAAAGCCAGGAGCTGAGCACCACCAAGCACACAAGTAGCCTGAGCATGAGCTGCTGGTGACCAGGAACTGCCCATTTCTGAGAAAACGCAAGCTTTTCCCTCACCGAAGCCTCCTCTGCTTTAAGTTTCTCTTAACTAGCAGCCCAAAGCAGTTCCCAACTGAGATGTACACCCATCCTAGTTGTTGAACTTGCCCAGCAGTCAATTAAGAACCACACTTTTGATTATCAATGGGACGATGCATAACATTATCTTTTAGTTCTGAAGTCTTATGGGAAGACTTCCTGCTTGTCCTCTGAGGCCTGTGCCCCTTGTGGCAGCTACAGAAAACTATGACTAGTGCCTGGAGGTATTATCAGTCACGCCTACAAAGCCTGGTCTCGGCCTGGCCTCTCTGCCTAGGCGCCCCTCCATGTCTGCTGTTTGTAAACTCTCACCGAGATGATTCCAAATGCACTTCAAACCTGGGTCCCCCACAAGGCCCCAGAGGTGGGGATTGTTTCTTTTCAAGCACAGCTCCTGAGAGGTTTATCCAGCCTCTGAGATGGTAACGGGGGGCTGTAAGAGGAGCCAAGCCATTACTTAATCTCTGTGGTGTTTTAATAAGATTGGAAAAAAAAGGAGCCGCCAGCTCTGATTAGTGTTCTGCTTGGATTTCCCGAGGCTGCACCGGGAGCCAACATCAGGGCTCTGGAGTCCCAACTTAGAGCCCTGGGAAATGAATGCATGACTTGGAGGGCCAGCCAGGGACATAGTTGGTAGTGACCTGGAATCATCTTTGAGATGGGCACAAATCTTTGCCTTTCTAAAGCCGAGCCGTGGCCTTGCTTCCCTGAGTGGTCTACCCCACATCTTTCTGATATTTGTCACTTGTGTCCCCAGGTCCCAGTTCTCTGTCCTGATAATACAAGTTCTCATTCAGTCATCAGCACTTGGCAGACACCTGGTCTGGGCCACAGCAATGGTGAGGTGGCTCTGAGCCCCTCATTTCCTAGTCCCCACTTTCTGTACAGCCTCTCAGAGCTTCAAAGAGTGGTTCCACACACCCTGCTCACCTATCTGTAGGAAGATGATGGATGGTCCTGATATGGAAACTTGTGTTTGTTCCTCCAGATCATAGC